TTTTCTTTCTTACCCTTAATTAGAGAGGATGCGATCAAAACAATCCTTCGCTTTAATATCCTTTTGCCCCTTTCAGGTGACGCAGTAAGTCTACATCCCCAGCCCCGATCGCATCCTCAGGAAACAGGCGCGTTTCCCCCCAAGTCCACCACAGCGAGGGACCGGAGGACACTCCCGAAAGGGACTGCCGAACGTCCTGGGAGATGCGTTCTCATCTTCGAGGCGGAGACGGAACGGAGATTAGGGCGGATCTCCCCAAAAAGCGATCATGTTGAACGGCCAACGTTCTGACCTACCGGAGAGGGGAGACTGAAATGTAGGTCCTACTCCCACGAGCGTCTCCCCCCCCCTTTCCATAAAGGTCACGCTCTTGCGACATGCCCAGGAGTTTTAGTGGGTAGGGGTCCCCGTTTAGGCTTTCTTCCGAATCCAAAACCGAGCCCCACACTCCCTCCTTCACAAGGAGGGGTTAGTGCGTAACTGCATTTCTCCTGGGTCAACAAAAAAAAAAAAAAAAAAAAAAAGGTTAGGTTAGGTTTCGGTGGTTAAGGAAACGACGGCGGGAACACCACCGAGCGGCGCCGGCGGCGACGGCTTCGTCGCGGTGCGATCGCGATCGCGAAAAGGAAAAGGGCGTGCAAGGCGAGTCGCCGCAGACGGGAAAGATGGGGTCGCCAAATCCGCTCCGGCTCCCTCCCGTGAGGGAGTGCAGGGGCCATCCGGGTCCCGGGGGGAGAAGCCGAAGTCGGCTCCGGCTGCCGCTCCGGTACAGAAAATTAAAGCGCCGCGGACGGCCGCGGTTGTTCTTAACAATAACGGGGGTACTAAATCCTTCGCAGAGGTCTTGACCGCCGCGAGGGAGCGCGTAGATCTTGCAAAATTAGGAATCGACTCCCTGAGGATCCGTCCGTCCGCTAACGGGGGGAGGGTATTCGAAATAAAGGGAGAAAACAGGGCGGCCAAGGCGGCGGAGCTGGCCGCAGAGCTTTCGAAGGTCGTGGGGCCGATGGGGGTCACGGCGACGTGCCCCGAGAGAAGGGTCGACCTCCGCGTCGAGGGCCTCTGCGAGTCCGCTACGTCGTGCGATGTCGCCCTCGCGTTGTCAAGGGCGGGCGGATGTCCCGTATCCGAAGTGTTGGTGCGTCCTCCGGTCGGAGGGGGCGCACGTTCGCGACTGGGGTTCGCGTCCGTTCCCGCGGCCGCCGCGTCCGCTCTC